GTTTGTGGGGCACTACTGTGCACAACTGGCTGCTGAGTTTCACCCACAAAATACACAATCAATCCACTTTACAGTATATCCTGTGAAGTGCTTTGAGACGTCTCAAAGATGTATGAAACTTACACAATCTATTTCTAGAATTTCCATGTGTAGGAGGGATGCATGGAATTCTCAGTTTGGTTACTTTTAAGCATGGTGATGGGTTTCCACATGTGTCAGATACCTGGCTGACCAAAAAAAACGATGTGATGAGGCACTATATCAAATGCAAAGATTATTATTACGTAATACTGCAACTGTAGGCTGAAACCTCAGCAATCCAACAATTCATTGCTTTTCTATGAACGGTGTATCAATTATTCTGGAAGGGAAATTCTCCCCAGTAACATTAATGACTTTTTTTCTGAGTCCTTCAAGACCCATCTCAAGACCCTCCTCTTCGACTGTGCTTTCGATCTCCCTGCTTTCCCCCCTGCACTCCACCCTCCCCGACCCCGAGCTCAGGTCCGAAACTCTGTCTGTCCAGCACCTTGGGACATCCTCCCGACGTGAAAAGCACTTTACAAATGCTGTATGAAAAAACGGAGGTACATCATCAGCCCAAAATAGAAACCCTTCAACATATTAAATCTGTACTGATTCCTCCATAAAATTCTTCAATAAGCTGTTTAATGTGATTCGTGTGGTTCATCTCTCACTTACAACTTTCACTTTATATAGCTGGAGGGGAGAGGGAGGAAGGTTTTCAGGCAGGAGAAAGGGGGCAAGTGGAGGGATTGTGGGAGAGTGTTCCAGAGTTTCGGGGCATAGTGGCTGAAAGCGCGACCTCCGATGGTGCAGCGGAGGGTGTGAGGGACAAGCAGGAGGCCGGTGCCGGTCGAGCGGAGGCACTGGGTGGTGGATTGGGAAGTGAGGAGGTCAGAGAGGTAGGGAAGTATCAGAGAGTGAAGGTTCCTTTCTCCACAGATGCTGCCTGACCTGCTGAGTTGTTCCCAGCGACTTCTGTTTTTGTTTCAGATTTCCAGCATCTGCAGTATTCACAATAATACAGCTGCTGAGCTCAAAATGGGAAAAAGGACTGATGATTACACAAAGAGGACAAAGTGTATTGTTTACTTCAGATACAATTTGTCTAAGAAACATAATAATAATTGCACTGGATATACCACCTTATCACCTCATTGAGACACCTCAAAGTGCTTCACAGAATATATTGTGAAGTGAATTGACTGTATATTTGTGGGCGAATCGTGGCAGCCAACTGCGCAGTGTCCCACAAACAGTCGTGCATTGAGTGACCAATTTTTTTAAGGGAATATTACCCCCGAAAAGCGATCTGCCAATCGGGTCACTACTTACTGATAGGTAAACAGGGGCATGTTGAGTAAAGAAATTTGCCTAAGGTTTAGCCCTTCCCGGGAATAGAACCCGGGCTCTCTCGCTTGCGAGGTGAGTGCTCTAACCATTACTCTATAGGACTCCATTATGCGGGGGGGGGGGGGGGGCGGGAAGAGGGGAATAAGATGATGTGTAATTAGAAAACAAAATCGGTAGTTATCATAAAACTCAACTCACAACCCAGTGGGACACTGATCCACACAATTGGCTGCCGTGTTTCACCCACAAAATATACAGTCAATTCACTTTACAGAATATTCTGTGAAACGCTTTGAGACGTCTCGAAGATGGAATAAGGCACGATATCAAATGCAAGGTTTATTATTATATTTGTCCATTTTTACTTTTAAAACTACTGTAAAGCATCTCCTCGCCAACCTCCATAGCTCTACCAACCACAAGCACCAGCCCATTCAAAACGGAGCTACTCATATCCTCAACCGCACTAAGCTTTGTATGCCCATCAACTCTGCCCTCACAAGGCTCAATATTCTTCCTGTGAATTAACCACAAGTTCCTCATTCTCACCTGCAAGTTCCTAAATGCCATAGTCCCTCTCCAACCATGTGATTTTCCCCAGCCTCACTCCCATGCCGATCTGCTCCACTTGAAAAACTCAAAGATTACTGCGCGCTCCTCACCTCCTCTGCTCATAATGTGGTTGAGCCTTCAGATACTATACCCCTACCCTCATGAACTTACTCTTACATTTCATTACCTATCTCCTTTCTATGTGTCTTTAAAATATAACATAGAAACAGGAGTATCCCTTTCAGCCCCTCAAGCCTATTCCACCATGCAAATGTTACTCCCCTGTACAAATTAGGGGCAGGATAAACCTGGGAACTACAGGCCAGTCAGCCTAATGCCAGTAGTGGGGAAACTTCTAGAGACTATAAACCGGGACAAAATAAATTTTAACTTAGAAAAATATGGGTTAATAAAGGACAGCTAACACGTATTTGTTAAAGGCAAATCATGTCTAACAAACCTGATAAGAGTTTTTTGATGAAGTAACGGAGAGGGTGGATGAAGGTAGTGCAGTTGATGTAGTTTATATGGATTTTCAAAAGGCGTTTGGTAAAGTGCCACATAAGAGACTTGTAAGCAAAATAGAAGCCCACGGAGTTAAAGGGACAGTGACAGCATGGATACAGAACTGGCTGGGAGACAGAAAGCAGAGAGTGGTGGTGAATGGTTGTTTTTTTGACTGGAGGGAATTGTGTAGTGGTGTCCCCCAGGAGTCTGTATTGGGACCACTGCTCTTTTTGATCTATATAAATGACCTGGACTTGGGTATAGGGGGTACAATTTCCAAGATTGCAGATGATACTGAGCTAGGAAAAGTAATAAACAGTGAGGAGGATAATAGCAGACTGCAAATGGACATAAACAGACTGGTAAAATGGGCAGATGAAGCTTAATGTGGAGAAATGCGAAGTGATGCCTTTTGGGAGGATGAATGAGGAGAGGCAATATAGACTGATGGTACAATCTTAAAGGGGGTGAAGGAACAGAGATAGCTGGGGGTTCATATAAGTAAATCTTTGAAGTTGTTAGGCAGGTAAGTAAAGCTGTTAAAAAAACATACAGGATACTAAGCTTCAACTCCATTCACCCACCTTTGTTCCGTATCCCTTGATATCCTTACCTAACAAATATTTATCGAACTGTAAATCTATCAAACTATAACTGTAATTATAGCGCTTGAACTGTGCCTATAGTTACTCCTCTCCTCTCCCTCTTCTCTCGCTGGTTCTAGCAGCACCACACACCCTGTTTTTTTTAAATACAGGTAGCGATTCCGACATAAGGTGTCCTCTCCTACGGGGAACTGCCAGAAATTAAAACTGAAATCATGCAAGCCCAAATCTCTTACCCTACAAAATAAAGGCAGAATCCACCCCTGTAGCATTGAAACAGATTCATAACATTTGCATTNAAAAATTTCAAATTTGCTGTGCTTATTTCCATAGCAACATCAAACTAAAGACGCTGTTCTGAACACTATCTCTGTTCTTTCCACATACCCTTCAGTAATTTCATCAGAAATAATTGGGTTAGAATACTTGCAATTTGCAGATAGTGGCATTACTACAGTGAATCAAATAATAAAGGGGAAAATAGATCTGTGCCTGCTGTAAATTTTTTGTAGAAAATGTAGAAAAAGTAATTTTTAATATTTGGCAAATTCTAAAACAGTGTAGTCCAGTTATCCTGTTATCCATTCATTAGAAAATTTCAAAGTTATTCTGCTTTGCATGCTCCATGTAGCACACTTGTCCCTGTGTGTTCTTCCACACTTGACTCTAGGATTGCACCTTCCCTGACAGACGACCATTCAGACATCAAGTCCTGGACGAGCATGTATGTCCTTCAAGTGAATGTAGTCCATCATCGCATCTTCACCAGTCACAATTGGCTCCGTATTCCATCACCCAGATTGATTTTAAGATCCCTGTGCTAATTTTCAAACATCTCCACACCCTACATCTGTCTTCTCTGATTTCCTGCAGTACTAAGTCCCCGCCCTATCACCCCACTCTACTAACTCAGTCTGCTTCATGTTCCCCAGAACATCAACCCTCCCCCCCCGAAACTCCGCTCCCCGATCACCCGTCTTTGCCAGACTGCACTGACTCCCTATCCCAGAAAGGATCGATTTCAAGATCCTCACCCCCGTATTCAAGTCCCTGCACTCCTCTGCACTCCCCTACCTCTCTGACCCTCTCTCCTCAGCACAGTACCCGTTGCCTTCGTTCTTCTGGGTCTGGCCTCCTCCTTGACCCCCGAGTCCTCCGCTCCACCCTCGGCGGCCGTGCCTTCAGCCACTATGCCCCGAGGCTCTGGAACTGCCTTCCTCACTCCCTTCGTCTCGCTTCCTCCCTTTCTATTTTTAGGTCTCTGCTGAAGACCTTTCTTTTCGACCGCGTCTTTGGTCACCTTCCCACCCCTCCTCCTGGCTCGTTCCCGGGATCCTAAACTGTAAGGCGCTCTGAGACACCGTCCGGGGTGGAGGGCGCTATATAAATCCAAGTTGTTGTTGAGTTTTCAAACACTTTGCTCTTGATCTATGGAACTCTCTCTCTAAATAACTCACCTCACACTTTTCCTCTTTGTTTCTGAAACCCACCTCTTATTGTGTGTTCAGTCACCTCTCTATTATTCACACCTCCCATCCTTCTCAGGCTCCCATTCACTCATGTCTGTGAAGCATTTTAAAACCATAGAATCATAGAAATTTACAGCACAGAAGAAGGCCATTCAGCCCATTGTGTCTGTGTTGGCTCCTTTAAGAGCAATTCTTCAGTTCCATTTACCTACCCTTTCCCAATACCCCTATCCAGTTTACTCTCTTTTAGATATTTATCTAGTTCCCTTCTGAAAGCTTGTATAGATCCTGCCTCAACCACATACTACATCCGAAATACTCTGTGCATAACCATTTGCTTGTTTGCTAACGATCTTAATGATGCCCTTAGCATTCGCTATCTGAAAGGCCAGTTTATAGGTTTATAGGTGCCAGTTGGTTTGTGTGTTATATAAGGAATTAAATCCCAAAGTTATGCAAGATAAATAGTGCTTATTAAATAATTACTTACTGTTTTCTATTGTGGGGTCATATGAGTCAACAAACTGCCCTTCAACAAACTGAATGGTCAACGAAGACTTCCCTGTAAAATAGGGGAGAAAAACGTCAATACTGAGTTGTCCAAAGGAAACCATAATATACACTATTATTTGAAATGAAATATTTTCTAATATAATAGTCTATTAAACATAATCAATTATTATATTTGCAAAATACAACTTACTTCCATGAGTGGAGGGTAAGTTTTTTTTCTTAAAATTATTACGATTACTTTCCAGTGCCCTATTAGGGTATTAGTCCCTGATATTTGTAATTTGTGGAGTGGTATAATAAAAGGATATTAATAAAAGCCTTTCCCACCCTCCCCCGTACACAATTTAGGCTTCAAATTCTCTTGCCCAATTTAGGAAACTTAAATTCTACCATTTAACCTACACATACCACACACATATACACACCCCACCGACACCCCACATACAATTCATGATCAGTAATGTTGGAGGTGCCATCCTTCAGATGAGACGTTAAACCAATGTACTGTTCAAGAGGACATTAAAGATTCCATCGCACTCTTCAAAAAGAGAAGGGACTTTTTCCTGGTGTCCTGGCTATCAATTCACCACAGATAAAATTTGTTATCCATTTTATGGCTCTACATGGGATCCTTCTATGCAAACATTAGTGTTTTTTGCAGGTGCAACCATACAGTACATCATGTGACGTATTTTGAGACTTCCTCATGTGAAAGGCTCTATAACAAATCTAAGGATTATTATTATTAAATGAAATTACAAGGTCTATGAGAAGAGCTTATTATTTCGCTTTCCAGTGTTAATATCTTTTAAAAAACAATAATTTGATCATTCAATGTTTGTGGGACCCTGGTGTGCGCAACTGGCTGCTAAGTTTTGTCCACAAAATACAGTCAATTCACTTCATGGTATATTCTGCAAAGGTTTTGAGACGTCTTGAAAATGTGATAGGGCACTATATCAAATACAAGGATTATTATTATTGAAGTACGGGCCACCCCAAGTTCCCCACCTCTGTCTTCCATTTCTCCCCAACTGCTTTTCACCACCTTTGTCAACTCCCTCCATTTTTGGAAAATTTCCTTTCACTGTCTCTAAATTTAAAAGTCAACATAGTGTCCTGGCCAATGTCCCCAACACAAAAAAAAATTTGCTTATCTCATTGCTTGTAAGACGATACTAGTGCAGAATATGTGCTGTGTTTCTCTCCATAACAATATTCTATATTAAAGTACAAGCTGTGTGTCAAAGCTGGCTCACTTGGTAGCACACTTGCCTTTAAGTGAGAATTCCAAGTCCAGGTTGGGACTTGGAACTCATATAGTCGAAGATGACACCGCAATCAGTGCTAGCGGTGTGTTGCATGCTCAGAGGAGACGTCCTTCGGATGAGACGTTAAACCAAGGACCAGTCTGGCTGTTCAGGTGGATCGTAAAAGATCCTATGGCACCATTCAACAAGAGAACGGAATTTCTCAGAGTGTCAAGCTAACAGTCCCCTAAATACAATTGAAATGCTGTACATTGTCCAGTGCCTTGGGACGTCCTCCCAACGTGAAAGGCGCTATACAAATGTAATCTTGTTGTTGTCACCATTCATGACCTCATCCTGGACAAGCACCTTGATATTCTTGGGATCCCCGAAACCTGGCTCTCCCCCAATGACCCCGTCTCCCTAGTGGAAGTCTCCCCTCCAGACTACACCTTCCACCACATGCCCTGTCCAAACCAACGTAGCGGCGGGGTGGCCTTCATTTCCAAAGCCTCCCTTGGTCTCACCCCCTACTCCTCTGGCTGCTTCCCCTCCTTCGAGCACCTCACCCTTTTCCAACCCTCTCTCCCTTTGAAAATCCTCCTTGTTTACCGCCCCCCCTAAGCCCCCCCAGCTCCTTTCACACAGACATCTCTACTCTCCTCTCTTCCCTGTCCCTCTGCTCCGAGTGCCTACTCATAATGGGCGATTTCAACCTCCACTTAAACTCCCCTTGCACCACTTCTGCTGATTTCACTGCCCTCCTCTGCTCCCTAAACCTTACCCTTCATATAAACTCACCTACCCACAACCATGGTCATGCACTTGACCTCATCATCACCCACGGCCTTGACATTTCCGAGCTCAGCATAGTGGATAAGGCCATCTCGGACTACTTTTTCATCTCCTTCTCCTCTTACATCCCTCTCTCCTCCACCAAGCCCTCAACCATCCTCTACCGCCCTTGGAAAAGTCTACCCCCTGAGACCCTCACAAAGGCCCTCTCATCTTCAAACATCCTATCCATCTGGCCTTCTACCCGCGGAGATCCTTGACACGCGCAAAAACGGCCTTCTACTCCAACATCATCTTGGAAGCTAAATACAACCCCAAAATCCTTTTTTCCACCACCCACTACCTCCCCCATGCCCCCCCCTCAGGCCTCCTCAATCTTCGTATCAAATGCCAAGTGCGAGGAGGTCATGGAATTCTTTTCAACTAAAATACTGAACATCCGCCAGGCAGCCTCATCCACCTGCCCCTTGTCACCCACCACGCCCTCTCTGTCCCCCTCACCCTCCTCATCATCTGCTACTACCACCAGCTCCTTTCTACACTCTTTCCTCCCCATCTCTCCCTCCTCCCACCATCACCTCCATGAAACCCACCACCTGCTGCCTCGACCCCCTCCCCACCAACTTACTGGTCACATAGCTCCCCCTCCTCTGTCCACTGCTGGCTGACATTATCAACCAGTCCCTCTCCTCCGGATCAGTCCCTGCCTCTCTCAAAACTGCTGTAATCACCCCCCTCCTGAAAAAACCCTCCCTAGATCCCTGAAACCCCAGCCATTACCGCCCTATTTCTAACCTGCCCTCCCTCTCAGAAGTTCTAGAACGCGTTGTTGCAAACCAACTCCGCGCACACCTCTCCTCCCACTCCCTCTTCGAGCCCCCCAGTCTGGTTTCCGCCCACAGTACAGAGATCGCGCTTGTAAAAGTCACAAACGACATCCTCTCTATCTGTGACCAGGGCTCCCTCTGCCTCCTTGTCCTTTGGTCACCTTCCCACCCCTCCCCCTGGCTCGTTCCCAGGATCCTAAACTGTAAAGCGCTCTGAGACGCCGTCTGGGATGGAAGATGGATAAATCCAAGTTGTTGTTGTTATTCATTCCATGGGTGTTTGTGGGACAGTGCTGTGTGCAAAATTGGCTGTTGCATACACCCACAATAAAAAAAATCACTTAACTTTACAATATATTCTATGATGTGATTTTCGACATCCTCCTGACTTGAAAGGCTGGTTACCAAATGCAAGGATTATCAAGTTCATATAGTGTGCATTTATAAAAAGATCACATCAGTTTTTCAACGAAGTCATTAAATCTCAACTACTTTGCGATTCAAGCGGACATTAAGAAACCTTCCTTCCCCACTCAGAAAAAGTCAAGGATTCCTGTCATTAAACATGTTTACATTCTCTCATCCAATTCACTCAAAAATTTCTAATAAATTGAAACACCCTTTGTCTTACAGGGTTAATAAGAGCTGAGTGGGAAGAAAGCTTGCTTACAGTGACTGGTTAACAGTGATGAATCAACTACAATAAAATATTTACTTAATAATCAAAATAATCCTTGCATTTGATATAGCGCTTTTCACATCGGGAGGACGTCCCAAAGCGCTTCACAGAACACACTGTAAAGTGAATTGACTGTATATTTGTGGGCGAACGCGGCAGCCAATTGCGCACAGCAATGTCCCACAAACAGTCGTAGATTGAAAATGACCAATTTATTACTTATATTAAGTTATATTACATATATAACTTAATATTATATTACAATTATTACAATTATTACAATTATATTACAATTTATTACTTTTACAATTATATTACAATTTATTACTTAAGTGTTACTAGGAATAAAACCTAAATCCCCATCTGCCTTTTCCTAGAATTTTGTTGGTATTGAAAACAGAATAGTGCTTAAAGGATGTGGGAGCAAGCTCCAATATTAGTTCTACCCATTGATGGTGCTTCAGAACTACTGCCCACTAACCTCAATTAGTGAGCAATTGTGAAAGCTACTGTCCCACAAGAGGTTGACTGTTCTTTAAATAGTAAACTTCCTGGACAGATGCTGAAAATATTGGAATCAGATAGGTGTAAAATTGCTGGTCCAATAGCCGCCTTGTTGTTAGTCTAAATAAATGCGAGTTAAGTCCAACAGAGCTGTAAAATCCACACCTACTGTGAAACTATTGTGCACAAAACACAACACTCTTGATCTGAGGCAAGCCAAAAATGTTTACTATGTTGCTCCACCCTGAAGACTGAACTCCAAGCCGTCAGGGTGGATACAAGATGTGGTTATTAACCGAACCCGAAGATGTGCACACCTGTATGAAGCAAACAAAAAATATCACCACCTCTGCAATGCGTGACAGACGTAATAAAAATACTTCAAACTGTTCCTCTCTTCTTTCTGCACTGTGCTTTTGCTGACAGGCGCTTGTAATTTTCTGCTAGACTGACACGTGTTACCACAGCGATGCTGTACAGCCAACTTACATTGCAATTCCATTTTGCATTTCATGTACCTCAGAAGATGTCCATGTTTGGCTGAAAAATGCAGCCACAGAACCAGAGCTATAACTTTATAAATAATCCTTATCTTTGATAAAAGCAAATTTTCAGATTTAAACAGATATGATTCAATCATTGAAGCGATTGGAGACGTTTTGGTAACGTGATAAAGCGCTATAGCAAATGCAAGTATAGCAAATGCAGTATGCAAATACATGTATTCATTATTAGATATTATATTTTTATGTTTTATCTTGGCTGCCACCTTTAGAAAAAAAACATTGCTTGCTGTACCAGTAAATTGATTTAACACCTTCACTACCAAATATACTTATAAAAATTTGGAACAAATAAAGAACTGAAAATTATTTTTTTGACATATACTATATTTGCAAGCTAAAGCATTATTTTGCAGATTTTTTTATAAATAGCTCAATGCATGGAGTTGATGTACATGCACTTTGATGAAAGGACATTTCATTATGCACCA